TTCCCTACATTAGGAATTCAGGCTGTGTTTTCAGTATTGTGACGCCGGTGAATTTGAATTGAGTGATGAAAGCTTGATGTTGAGTCATTAAATATGACATTCAGAGGACTACCTGATGCATGGATCTAGCTCATTCACCCTTATGTAGGTTGGACAATTTGGGTATAACAGGCTGTGTGAGATATCTCCATCCTCCTGGATTTCCAGTCTCTGTTAGCCATATTTCACTTTGCTCTGGCTAACATACTGAGTTCTGAGTGTTAGAAAGGCTTTTGTGATGTGAATAAAAGGTATTACACAAATGTTTTGTTATTTCTTCTGAAAAACCATGACTTTTTAAAATAATACTTGCATTGACTTTTTTTGTGGTGGATTAGAAGGATAATTAAAGAGTAGGTGTTAAACTGCCTAATTTTCAGTAAACTGTACAGTACACTATGTACAGAGAAAATTCCCAGTCATTGGGAATTCAAAAGTGTGCAGTTCGACAATAATAGTTCTGAGGAGAGAATTCACTGGAGCTTTTGTTCTTCGTTAAAAGGGATGAGCTTTATAATGTGTCCTCTAAGATTGGATTCTAACACTAGGTACCAAGTAAGTAATAGCTTTATCATTGAGGAAGCACAAAAGTAAATTTACTGACTAATGAAAAAATGGTGAACAAAAATTATTCTTGTACTATGAAAGATGACAGTTATTTGCATATGGAATATGTATAATATTTAGTTTTATTGTCAAAAAAAACCCAACTTTTTTAATATTCACAGAGAGATGTCTACAACATCATCTCCATACAGGGTTTACAGTGTTTACAGGCTTGAATGTTTGGTTAAATTCTCAAAGCATGGAATAGAATTTCCTTTGAAGGTGTCTTGGTTTAGGCTGGGATAAATTTAGTTTTCTTCCTAGTAGCTTGGCTACCCAGTGCCGTGCTTTGGATTTAGGATGAGAATAATGTTGATAACACACTGATTTTTTAGTTGTTGCTAAGTAGTGTTTACACTTAGTCAAGAACTTTTCGGCTTCTCATAATATCCTGGCAAGAGGGGCTCGGAATGCACAAGGAGCTGGGAGAGAACACAGCAAGAACAGCTGACCCAAACAAGATAAAAGGGTATTTCTTATGACATCAGGCCCACTATATGAACTTGGAGGAGTTGGCTGGGGGGCACTGTGTTTTAGGCTTTGACTGGGCAACTATCAGCAGGTGGTGAGCAATTGTATTGTGCACAACTTGTTTTGTATATTTGATTATTATTATTATTATCCCTTCCTTTTCTGTCCTCTTAAACTGTCTTTATCTCAACCTATGAGTTTGTTGGGTTTTTTAATGATTCATTCCCCCCTCCTACTGAGGAGGGGTTGGAAGAGTGAGTGAGCGGCTGTGTGGTGCTTAGTTGCCAGCTGGGGTTAAACTATGACAGCAAATGTTTATATCAATCGTCAGTAAAGGTTTACGTCATTTTTGTTTATATCATTTTTTTACAAAAACTTTCAGAGAGGAAAAGGAATGTGGGTGACCTTACAGCATCTTTCCAGCCAACACTATTTCCAAGGAACAACACCCAGATAGTAAATCTGTGTTTACTAGATTTAATTATTAAAATATCAAGTTTTCTCGGGTGATTTTGTGGTAAACTTTAATAAATAAAAAGAAAATTTATCAGTTACACATTCCCTGCCCACTTTTTTGAGTAGCCCAAAGAGGTTAATAAACTAAACTTCAGCACTGAAAGAAATAAAGAGAAGAAATCAATATGAAAGTAATTGTATCAGGGCTTTCCTTCCTCTTATGAATGGCATTGAGCATCCATAGTCTAGAGACATGTCGTAAGGCATTCTCCTCAGCAGCAGCTTCATGGAGACAGATTACCCTTCAGGTGCCTTAGAAAGAGTAACACCATGGCAAAAAGGTTAAAAATCCAGGAGAATAATGGATTTTAATAAATGAAAGTTGTGGAAATCAAATATCTGTTGCTATTTTTGTCTCTTGCTTAGAAACACTCATCATAATCTTGATAATCTTTTATGTCAATCATGGTTTATTCGTTGTCAGTCTTTGTCAGTCACTGAAGTAATAAGGAAGGGGATTATATTCTGCAATCACTGTGCTCACATTTACCCAGTGCTGTGCAGAAAACAGCTGCCTCTCCGAGTTTATTTATGCTTTCACTACTATATCAAATATACAGTTATAAGAAGGATCAGTTTCACCTTACAGCTGCCAAATATTACTGTAAAGTTAATAAGGCCACCAGGAATAGGGATGAGTGCTAGCTGCTCAGGTTTGTTCTGAAAGGATAATCTGAGAATTTCAGAGTGGGCAAAGGGGCTGCATTTTAATGGTGTTATGCTGGTGGTTCTCCCAGGTGCCTTTGAAAATCCTAGCTAAAAGCTTACAGAGAGGAGTTTTTAAAATTAAGTAAAACAATTGATTTTCCAGGCACTGAAGAAATACTTCTGAAAGTGATGTGGACAATTTTCATATATATTTAATAAGTACTGTTTCAGTTTAAGCTTTTAGGCACAGACTGTAAATTTTGATTGTATGTTTATCTTTTGTTGAGGGACATATGAAGTAGAAATATTATTTGTTATTTTTTAAAATAATGTCATATATAAATGTATGTAGGCAACCCTTAGCTCCTGAAAGCTGGCACACATCTAAGCGAATCAAACATATCTCTCAGTAACTGAAGATATTTTTAATCTTCCTGTGAAAGTGTTTAACAGTAATGATAACAATTAAGTGAAGTTATATATACGTAGTACTTTTCAATGCGAATTATATTCCTATAGTGTTTTTTTAATCATTAGATCTGTAGCAGACAGGTATAAGTCCCAAGACTGCAGCCTTTGCTTGTATGTTGTCTACAGCTTGTCACAAATTTCTCTCCAAGTAATTTTCAAAGAAAAATTTATGCTTCCAGCTACATATTTGTTTTGCAGAAGGTGTATACTTTAGACACACATTTTCTTTTAACTGAGCACATATCCAGAAATATTTTTTGGTTTGAGAGTTTTGTTTTCCAAAATACCATTAGCCCATGCTCATCTAGTCATCTGAAAGGCTCAGGTGACTAATTTTGAATAAGTCATCTACTGTTTTCCATAGGGAACTAATGAGCTAAACCCTTGCTTTTTGCAAAAGCTATATTGTTCCAGAGAAACAGTTTGCATAAGGGATGTGGACTCAGTTCTTAGATTTATGAATAAACATCGTAGCAGGGCTTCATTTTCATATGTGGTGTGCATTTGCCACCCTTTTAGAGTCCCAAGGAACATAATCCAGTAATAATACTCATGAGGTAAGAAAGCATAATTAGATGTTAAATATTTGAATAAGGATGAATAGATTATTAAAGTTTTATTTTTCCATTCTCAGATCTTGAAAAATATCCCTTCTGTTATTACTGAAAAGAAAAATAATCTGAGTGGGGGCCAAAGCATATTGGCCAAGCAAAGACAGGAAGGCTGAGCTTTCTCAAAGGCAGCAAGTAATACTTACATTGCAGATGCTTGTGCTATTCCTGTAATGCACCTGATCCTCCACTAATGAGATCAAAGGTTGTTTTTCACTTCATTTAATTGAAGAAACTTTTCTGTGGAAAAATATAGCTAGTTCTGCCATTCTTATAGTTTGGTCCATATCCCATAAACAAACTGAATAAGTGGACACGTTTATGCTTGACTGAATAATTTTTTTTTCTTTTAAATAAGCTATACACGATGATGGAGAACTAAAAAAAAAAAATTACCTTGAAAATGATAAAAAACTATTCTTTGTGAAGCCTCTCATTAGGAAAAGAAAGTGAACTGTTCTTACATATTTTTCATTCATTTGCTGCTGTCATAAACTTCAAAATGTATTGAATGCATTGATTAATTTAATATATGATCTTTCTAAAAGCCAAAGCTGTAAATAATCATATCCATTAAAATAAGAATTAATTAGATGAATAAATAACAGGAATGTCTGATTTTTATGAGCTATGTCTAGCTACTTAGTGTATGAAAGAATGGCATTCAAACTGGGAAAGAAAAATTTGTTTTAGCTCAACCGTTGCATTATTACCAAGTGTCTGATGAAGATTTTTCTTCTCTTATTGACCCCACTTGTTCTTTATTGAGAAAGAAACGCAGTTGTGAACCAAACCACTTTACTAACTTGTCTACTATTTCAGAACTGCAGGAAACTAAGACGTCCGAATATCACAGAATATCCCACAGTCCCCTGGATTACAGGATACTATTAATGGATGAAGATCAGGATCGGATCTACGTGGGCAGCAAAGATCATATTCTGTCCTTGAATATTAATAATATAAGCCAGGACCCTCTTAATGTAAGTCCAAGGTTTATTTTGAGAATCCAATGTTCCTTTACTACAGGCCTTTCTTTTTAAGACAAAAAACTGTGTTTCATTACTTTGCAGCAGGCAAAAGCCCAGGCCTGCACCTTATTGAATTGTTAGTCCCTGTTTTATGTGTAACGCAACATGAACAAGGTATTAGCATGGCTGCTTCTCAAACACTTGTTTAAAAACTGACCTATTTACATGTTCTAAAGTGACATTATTTTTTATATTAACCTCCCTCTTGACACTACCTCTTTTCTGGGTTTTTCTCTCACTTAGTGAGATGCTGTTTTCTATGGATTCTTCTGTGCCACACCTCCCCAAACTGTATTAAGCAGCCTGTATATGAAAATAACCAAATTATCAGATGTTTAAACCACTTTCACAGATTCCTGTCTTGTCTCCAGAGCCAGTTCAAATCCAGCTTCTCTTCTTTTAAAATAGTTGGCCTGCAGAAGTACTTGTGTGCCCAGAAGCCTGACTGTTAAGATATTACTTCTCTTCAGACTTTATCCATCTTTAGATTATCACAGCTGCAACACTACATTGAAGTGTGGCATAGGCCTTGTTCTACCAAATCCATCCAATCCTTTAATCTATGAGCTTTAATTGCTGTACCTCAGGAGTATTGAGGGGCAGAGATATCCAGCTAGCACAAGAAAGTTAAATGCCTGCCTTAAGAGGCAAGGCTTTTAATGTGTCAGGAGAGAGAGAGAGGCTCCACTGGAGGGTGATTAAGTGCATTTAAATTGGGTTTTGCTCTGAATAACCCTCTGAACATGCCTGTCTACCTTAATTGATTGTGCAGGGAGTCCTGGGAGGTTAACTCTAACTTACACATTTAAATTAAATGCCTCTTGTGGTGGCATGAATGCATCCTTCCTCCTCCTAATGGTACAGAAATCCTCCTCTGAAATGAGGCTGCCTTCTCTGATCTGGAATAGCTTAAGTGACCTTTTTGCTATTTGTCATTGGGCCACCCTTTTCTGGGAGCTGCTGTGCTCCTACATGGCATGTTCCAGCCTTCCTTTAGCAGGCAGATTTAATTCTGTACAGAATTTGGTTAGATAGGAAGGCCTCTCTTGCATAAAATATATTCCTCAGTATAAAGCCATGAGACATTTCAACAGTATATTTAGACCTGGAAAAACAAGAATTTAAAAAACATCAAAGGAAGCTGAAACAAAATTTTTTGGCAGCGAATCTGATCACCCAGTATTAGGCTCAGAATTAATCTGTGCACACGTTCTTCTGTTTGTTTATTTATTTTTGTAACAGATTAATTTTGCTAATCTTATGCCCCCATAGAAACCTACATACTTGTGTATACATAACTACAAGTCTATGCATAAATATGCATGTGTGTGTGTATATGTATATATATAGACAGAGATCTTTTTATGGTATTATTTACATTATCTTGAGGCTAAATGTTATCAGGCTCTGTCACCTACTAAATTTCTAAGGAGATATTTCTAATGGATGTATTTTGCATTTAAAAATAAAAATAAATAATGGAAGAATCTCACTAATGTTAGAGTTTGAGTATAGAACAGAAAAAGATTCAGAGAATGAGGTGTTTGTTGAAAAACTGTCTGTAGTGCAAGATATCTTGGAAAGAAATCAAAAAATCAGCCTGGAATCTTAAGTTTTTAAGAAAGTTTTATCATAAGGTATTCCAAACCTTTGCTATTAAAAGAAAAATTTGTTCTCCAGAACCTTTCTTTCAATATTTTAGTCTTCCATTTTCTGTTGTGGACAATTTCTAAAAATTCAGTAGAAGCAAAAAAGTAAAGATGGACAGTTATTTAGACATAGTGAAAATAATTTTTTTGCCTTATAATCAAGATGTAGAAGATATCAAAGTATTAACTTATTAGTGTAAGTTAGGTGGTGAAATGTTTTGTTTAAATTATGTGATAAATATGTTACTTAAAAGATACTTCTCGTCTCACAGATTTTTTGGCCAGCGTCAGCAAACAAGGTTGAAGAGTGCAAAATGGCTGGCAAAGATCCTACAGTAAGTTATAATCTGCATGCACATCCACACACATATACAAATGACATACATTGCATACATATTTGGCCATAAAATAAGAGTACCTTGAGTGCAGCCAAAAACAAAAAGAAAGAAGTGTTTGTTTTGCTTTTTAAATGCTCTGCAGGCTTAAAAGATAAAGGGAATTTATGAAAAAAATAATTTGTAAATAGAATACGCATTCAGAATTTGACAGATGGAAAAAGATGCTCATTGACCACTACCTTGCCTTTTTTTCTTGTTACTAGTCAAATTAGCTAATCGCACTTTTCCAGATATGTCCTGGGGATGATGCTGAACAGCCTGTTGAGCTGTTGTTTGGCTTTGGTAAGCATTCTGGCTGTCTGCTCACCCCAGGAACAGACTTTACAGGCAGACGATACCCTAGACTCAGGAACAACTCGAACACCTCTTTCCATTACTCCCACAATAGAATACTTGCCCAAATAAGTATCTGGAAAACAGTACCCTTTCCTGGAAAGAGGCAAAGATGATCTCTGGAATCACAGCAAAGACCATGGAGAGCTTAAGTCATTTTGCACCACAGCTGATTATTCTCCCATCTAAATGCAGACACCTTCCAAAGGACCTAAATTAGCTGGTAATTGCCCTATACACTCTTCAGAGACAATAGATAAAAATTAACTAGTTTGAAAGGCCCAGTGAGTGGTAAAATACAGCAAATCCTGTCTTTGGCAGAGTTGCATATTAACATGATTATTTTCCTAAAGTAATTTGAATTTAAAGTCTATATATGCCCCAGTCTTTTTCACAGAAGACACCTAAATGGTAAACATAACCAAAAACAAACAAACAAACAAAACCCCACAGAAAGTCACATTTAAATTCTAATCAGTTACCTTTTTACTTTTTGGCAGTTTAGCAGCACCTAAAAGTCTTTATTCTGGTTTTCTTCTTATCTCTTTATGTATAGCTGTTTCCAACTGATATTTTAGTGTTAGAATTCAGAATCTAGTCTGCACTAGAAAAATGCAATTTCTCACTACTAAATTTATGAGAAAAAAACAATGAAGTTTTGCTTATATTTTGATTTGAGCAAAAAGCTATTGAAATCAGAAGACTTCACATTAACTATAATCGTCTTTCAAACATATCATATATGTAGTATCATAATTAATGAAGTGATTGAAGGATGTAAGCAGGTGTATATCAATATAACTTAATTTCAAGAAAAATAAGATGAATGCAAAAGTCTACTGAATTTATATTTTTTCAAAGGTCTCTGTATCATGCCCAATATTTCTGTTTATTTTAGCTACACATTTTCTACTGTTAACTAAGCCTACAGATTACATATTATTTAGTTATTGCAATGTTACATTAACTCACCTGAGTCCCTATTTTAAGAAAAATATGTGTGGGCTTTATTTTGAAAATTTGTTGCACATGGTGATGAATATAAGGAAACCAGAAGGTTGGCCTACTGGAGTGTTACTGTAATAATTGCTTCTTCAAAACTATGGAGAGTAATTCACTATATTGCTGCAGAGCAGCAGAATGAATCTTCATGGATAACTAACTATATTGTGGTTGGTATGGCAGTTTATATGATTTCTTTCCTGAGAGCTGTGGTAGTGAAAACTGAACATTCTTCCTATTGAATGTCTTGTGTTTCTACACATATTTAAATTGTTCTGGTTACTGAAGCATGCAGTAAATTGTACAGACAAATGGCCTGTTAAGTTACACTAAATGTGAAAACAAAACATATAGCTTTATTAATAAAGATTACTGTTGACCCTAGTTACTGTGTCAGCTGCATCATCAGCTTGTGACAGACTAATTATAGATTTTTATTTTCTTTGAAATACAAAAGTTCATTAGTCTTAGTTGTGTTTGCAGCCTATAATGACACTTCTAGGGCAAAAATAGGAAAAACAGAGATGATACTCTAAACAGAGAGCAGTATGTAAAATATATGTTCTATGGAGAAAAAAAAACCCGAGACACTACTAAGTATTAGACTCTTCAGATAACTTTTAGTCTTTGACATTTAGTAGTGAAACTTCCCTAGCTGTTAATCATACTGAAGTACCCAAATGTTTCTGCATCAGCAGACAGCTTTCTGGATAGAACGTCTGTTTTTACAACAGTTTGATTAAGGGAATAAATAATATCCTGTAATGCAGTTGATTAGGAATATCCATGTGCCTCAACTGTAACTGATTTTTTTTTTTTTAATCCCAGATGTGCATTGGAAAAAAAATACATGAGTCCAGAAATAGAATTTTACATTGTTTCTTAGTATTTGTCTTCAAGAGTTTAAGAGAAAAAAAAAAAAAAAAGGTACTGAAGAGTAGCTCTTGCTCCCACAAAATCAATGATACATCTTACTGAAAACTGACTGAAATAATGAGAAAAAAAGAACCTGATGCCAAAACACTGTTTGCAACATAAAATTTTCTGTTCAATTTCAACAGCATTCTTGTGAGTTCTTGAACAATTGAGAGTTTCAAATGAGAAAAAAAAAAAGTGGAGGGAGTGAATGCATGATAATGTTTGGCCTATCAGAGAACAGTGATGATCACAAGGTGAAAGAGGAATAGACTTGGAACAGCCAGTAAAGGACTTTATGTAATCAGCAAATTCTTTTCCAAGGAGATTCAGAGGGGTTCATCTACCCTACCATTAGACAAACACTGGTGTCTGACTTTGCCATCTTTGGCTGTCTTCTTTAATACTGAAAAGAAATCATCACCTCTAAATAGTATGTTCACAAGGCTAACTTGAATGCTTAGGTTAGTATGACATCTATTCTCTCAATTTACTGTGATGAGATACTAGGGCAGAGATGTCTGACTTTTGATGTCTACAGTAAGGCAGTTCCCCAGATACTGCTACTGAGTGAGTTTTGGTATCAGCTCCAAGAGAAACACCAGTAGTATGTGAATATCTAACTGCTCCCGTGCTCTTGCCATAGGCACTTTGGAAAGCAAATGGCATGCTACTAAAGCAGAGTAGCAAGTGTCAGGTACCAGTACTGCTCATGTAGACATTGTTTCCTAGTCCTGGCCCTTGAAGACTTTTTATTGTGAGATTTCTCAGCATATAATCCTTTATCTAGGAGACATAGAAAAGTTTTCTGCAAACAGCAAGAAAAGAGAGCACCCATTTACATTCTGGCATATAGAAGCTAGTGGTATGCTTTCACCTGTCCTTCCCTTTCCACAGACATAATGTGGATTGGCAGTACTTCTGAGAAAGACACATTTTTGATAACAAGACATTACTAAAGCCATCTTTGAGCCAAACTAAGATGGTTGGATATGAGAAATTGGAACGATTTAGGAAGAGCCCTCTGCTTTAGAGAAACAATATGTTTTGACTGGGTTAAAGGATTTTTCTGATATAGCTAGAGCAAGCACTTAGCTGAAGGCATGCAGTGTTCCCCATAGAGAAACTCCTGTGAACTCTGAAATACCTACAGTTATGCACAAGTTTTCAGATATTGTAGCATAGTACCAGCTCCTGCTAGGCCAAAAATGTGAATGCCTTTAACTATAAATAAACTGTTTGAACCAGGATTAACTCTACTGATTCTCATGAAGATGGCTGATGACAGAGTTTCCAATCCTGTGCTCACAGAACACAAGAAATTTTCACTGTCTTTGGTGAAAGTTTGGATGACTGAATATGAAGATAGTTCTGGGATCTCAGTAAGAAAAAAAATCTATTTTCAACCTAAAGTGCATTGACAATTGATCATAGTCAAGAAAGAAAAGAACAAGAGAAGAAGGAGATATTCTGGAAGGAGAAAACTGTAAATTCAGTGGCATGAAGCTGTGGTCATTAATGTCCCAATTTTCATGCTGATTTGAAGGTGTTATTGTTCACCTTCAATATGAAGCAGGAACTCGCTGCAAACTTTGTGTTGTTCAGGGTTTTAAAGTTTTGGAAATAAGTTCTTTAAAGAAATAATGGGATCTGAGATTTGGGCTTGCTTTGCTTTTCAATTATCTCCAGCCATGATGAAAAAAATAGGGGGGGAGAAAAAGTGTTCTGGAGGTGTCCTTAAGGAAACTTCATAAGGTCGCTTCTTGTTTTCCTGCAGAGGCCCTGCTTCTTCCCGTGCAAGGTACAGAGAAGTCTGTGGATGAAAATAAGGTTGTGATGTGGAAATGGGAAAGTTACATGCACTCCTCTACAACTCCTCTCTAGGGCTGTATCAGTGCCCAGTTCCCAGACTAGGCAAAATGGCATAAAAAGAAAACAGAATTGGGCAGCTGTTCGAATCTGGAGACTACCAAACTCAGTAGCTGTTTTAATGATACTATTACAATTATAAACCGTGTCTATTCCCTGGAGTTCTCAACATCTAATAGCACCTGCCAATGTGAACTTCTTTTCCTCTGTATTCCCTGCAGCACGGCTGTGGGAATTTTGTGCGTGTGATCCAGTCGTACAACCGCACACACCTCTACGTCTGCGGCAGCGGCGCCTTCAGCCCCGTCTGCGTCTACGTCAACAGAGGGCGCAGGTCCGAGGTGAGTCTCCTCATTTTATCCACTCATTTTGTGGTGCCTCTTACTAGTGTTATGCAAAAATCAACCATCCAAATAGGTTTCTTCATCCATGTTAAATAGGACAAACCCCAAAGATCCATAGTTTTCTGACCTGTTACCAGCTCAAAGCAAAACAATGATCAAAAGCCATGCCTTAGATATGATGGTTGTTCAAATTTCCACAGTCATACTAAATACTGGGTTACATTTGATGCTACTTTTTTACTTGACGTTGTCTGGTGAATTAATTCCTCACATTGTTTTGAAAAATTGCCAAGAAATACTTGAAAGGAGATATGTACTTAGATAAAAAGGAAAATATGCAGTCCACTTTTTATAACTTCCATGTGTTACGGATTCCTAGGAGAAGCTCTTAAGTGGCCTAACTACTCAGGTATGTGAAGGTTTGCTGAACTTCTGATTAATACCTGCTAGATATAGGTAGCTTGCATCTACTGCACAAGCTTTGCCCTGTTAGATTCTGCTGGGATGAAGCTGATCAATTTTCTCGTCACTGTGGGGTCTTCCAGGGTATAAACTTTATCTCCAGATAGATATCCAGTTTTTCTACATTCAGTCTCACTCTGTATTTTCAATCTCCAAAGTACCAGATGTTTCATAAGCATGTTGTCCAAGAACCCTGATTTGAAAGTGAAATGTTTGTTTATGTGCAAACGTAATAGGGAATAAATTAAGCAAACAGAAGGAGAAGGAAAAGTACTTAAATAAGACCCAGGACTTCAGTAGCTTTTGGGTCAGATTCATGTCTGCAGGCACAGGGGTGTACAGTATTTTTTACCGTAGAATGTGGAAGCAGATGTATTGGGAAGGAAGATCAGGGTGTGCCAGCTGGAGTTCTGCCATGTGAGGGCAGCTTTAAAAGCTAGCCAGGTTCCTAGGGAAGACACTGGGAAATTTATTACTGATTTCACGGGGAGTGGGATGGGAATTCTGGCCAAGACCCAAGGCCACTGCAGTGGTTGCCAGAGAGGTGATAAAACATTATTTCTGCAGGTAGGTTTCCATGGAATGATGTCAGTGACTTTTGGTAGATTCCCACCTGGCTCCAGCCTCCTTAACAGAGTGTGTACTCTGAATCACTGCACCTTCAGTTCTAATGAAATATCTAAATGTAGAGGTTCACAGGATGTAAAAATACAAGCAGGCAGAACTGAATATGTAAATACATCTTTTTGGGGTCTGCATTACTTTATTTTCACGTATTTTGAAATAGAGATCATCTTTTCTCAGCATTATCCTATTTCTTGACAAATTATTTAAAATATGGAAAGTGTCTTATTTGTCTCTAATTAATGCAGTATTACTTTATCAGCTTAAGCAGTAATACTGTAGCCCAGGGAACTCTGAATCTCATAATTTTATTGGTTTTGTAAATGAGATTTGGAGGGAAAGGGAGAGGATGGGGAATGACATCTCCAGCTGATGCAAGATGTTAAATTTCTTAAGTTAAAAATAAAGATAAGTTTTAGAAGAGCAAAACTGGCTTCACTGAGCCTGTCTGTCTAGCTACATGCCTACGATGAATTGATTAAATAAACTGCTGTTTCAGACGTCTGGAGTCTGTCAGACACTTGACTGTAGGTATCGCATGCTCAAAGTCATTCCTGTGCAGGCCAACAATAGCATAGCAGTTTAAACCCAAGCATTTCCTTCTGAACTCATTGCATGTACCCCTGCATGACTAATCACCAGAGTAGAATGAAGAGCTATGCAGTGCTGATGGGGCTAGGGAGAATGCGTTTTCTTCTCTGCTTTTATCATTTCACCTTTAGTTTAGTACAGTGTTCCATGCACAGAAGGGTGGTTTTGCACATGCAAAATGGATATTTTAGAGAGCACATCTGTTTTTCTCTAGAAGCTACGAAGCCTGACAGTAAGAGTCAAACCCAACAATCATAAGAACTGGGCCTGTTTTGCTCTTTTGTCTCAAATTTTTCACATAATCTCACAAAAAAAAAAAAAAAAAGGCAGTTTCATTGAAGAGAGAATGTTGCCCTTTTCTCTGAAACAGAGGTTAAAAAATAACTAATTTTCTTGCTTGGCACACTTGATACTTTGGTCTTTGGTAATGACTTTCTTAGTCACCCAAATATATTTTAACGTCAAAGTAAATGCAAACAGAAGGAAGTGTAATCACTATGTGGATTAATTACAGGCTAAAAAGTAGTTTTAATATATATGAAAATCAAGTGTAACCCTACAACTAGTTTAATAGTGCAATAATGGGCATTTTAAGTTGGTAAACAGTGCTATAATATCGTAAATATGTATTAACATCAAGCTACATATTCATCTAGAAATAAAACAACATTAAAAAACCCACAAGATCACATTAGAAACTTCATCCTTATGTTTTAACCATGTTTAGAGTTTCATTACTGAAACAATAGATAATATCTCTCTGATTAAATTAGGCAAAACAGAAGAGGGGGAAAAGAGATGGGGGTAATGGATATGAAAACTTCCTGCAGTAGCTGAGCATTTCAGGTTGGCAGAGTCTCCAATTTACTGTCACCAGATGGGTGCTCAGTGATCTGTGTGTCATCCCAACTCCCTTGGGATTTACATCCGTTGTTAAAGCGAACATGAGGAGCTGCTGCCTTTAGCTGAGTAACTAATACATGAGCATCTACACCACGGAAGCCTTTCTTTCAAATCTGTGTCAGCTTTTATTAAAATAAGTTTTAGAAGTTTGCTGTAGGAGACTAGGAACAAGTTATTTGGCATACAATGGTACGCTAGTTGATGTGCTATGGATTGATGTCTCTGCCGTTACTGACTACAGTTTTTAAGTAACAGACATGGACCAAAGTCACTTCTTGCTCAGTATACTGTGCTCTTCAGCATTGCTGGGAACCAAGAAAAAGTGAAAAGCTGCACTGAGATGAGCAAACTTTCTGAAGATATTCAGGCTGTTTATATTTAAAGCTGTAGTCCAGGTTGCTCGTACTTTACCAAATGTATTTCCTATTTATAAATCACATGAAATATGAACCAATTACCACACCCAGATTCATAAGCATCAAAAAATTTCCAAGAGATTTCAGGCTATAGCAAGAGATACTGATGAATCACCTATCACTGTGGGATTGGAGCTCTACACATTATCCAAGAGATGATACTGAAGAACATAAATATGATTTAGGGGATTTTTGGAGGTCTGATAGCTCCCTAAAGAGCAAATGATTTATACTATCACCAAATTAGAGTTGTCGTAAGAGATCTTTAATATGTATTATTGTTCTAGTAGCTTTATTATAAAGTCCTAGAATAGTAGAAGTATCACTATGTACTCACCAAATAAATTACAAATAACTTCAAGACCATGAAATAATCTACACAGATGTTATTGCAGAGATCAGTCAACCTCTCCAAAGCATAACTGAGCTACAGGGAAATTCTTTGTTTCAGTATCTTGAATTTATAACAAGAGTTATGAAAATAACTTGATACCAATGAAAAAGTTGTCTAAAAAGATGATGAAATTCTGAGTAGGAAAAGTAAACTGCTGACAGCACAGCAAAAATGCCCAGCAGTGCTGAACATTGTTAATGCTGGAAATGGCCAAGCATAAAAATCACTTTACATCTGATGGTTTCTGAAACGAGAAGTGACACACAAATCTACATTGCAGGAACAAATCTTCAAGATCGACTCCAAGTGTGAATCAGGGAAGGGACGTTGTTCTTTCAACCCCAACGTGAACACGGTGTCTGTTATGATCAGTAAGTAAAGATACTCCAAGCTGCAGATGTCTAAACCCGTATGATCGTGCGTGCTGCGGATTGATGGGATGCCTAAAACAAGCTGGACACAGAATTCAGCCTCCACAGAGCAGGACCTTGTGTCTGGCTAATGGGCAGAAGGATCAGGTCCATGCTTGTTTCAAGGTTTACATGAAGCTAAAGGTGGGTGTACAAATGAAATGCAGAAATAAGCTGTTGAAAGGGTGAGAAACAGAAAACAAAAGGTTGTCCCTTTTCCAGCTTACACATTTTTTCCCAGGGTTAGTTTCAACTTTACATTACCCTGTCTAGCATTTTATGCTTGAAAAGTTTTTGACCTTGTTCATCCCAGACAGCACTTGTGTCTCATTTAATTACTTATAAAATCTCAGAGTAGCTAGGGAAAGAAAGCCCAAAGACTTAAGTTTCTTTGAATTTCATTTTTTTTGTCATCTCTGCTGTAGAGCCTACCAGCTATTGCAAAGTACTTTGTTCTTCAGCTGGCTTTACACCCAACCAATTTTGCAATTTTCTTTTGTTTGAAAGACCAAGAAGTGATACAACTGAAACACCTCAAATATTCTTGTGAATTGGTGGTGACTGTACCCAGTGACTGTGAGATATAACCCATACAAAGAATTACTGCAGTGCCTATTGCATACCTAATTGAAAAGTCAAAGGGGGCATGCACTTGTGGAACATAAGTCATCAGTAAAACTTTTGTTTTTCAACCAGAAGTTGGTATATATACTTAGTATAACCCAACGTTTCCTGTTTGCAGCATTTTTACATACTTGTAGTGCCAAAGCCTTGATTTTTCAAGATGTGACTACTCCTTCCTATATTTTTTTGCAAGGGGATAGCAGTTACACAGATTTTTCAGTCTTTCTTAGCAAATAAAACCTAGTGCACACAGGTACTGCATATTCCACAAAGAGTTTACAAGGGAACAACGTGTGGTGTTTCTGCCATTCAGCCTCCACTGAAATCAATGGTTATTACATATCATGGCAGCTATTTCCTTTAAAGTTTTAGTCATGTGGAACTTAAGAGAAGTGTCATATAGTCTATCCTACATGGTCTGTTCAAAACACAAGTTGCCTTTTTTTTCTTTTTTTGATTCCTCATTGCAAATATATTTAGTACAAAGGACAAGTAATTTTATTCACAGAGACATGAGCTGAAGCACCCTGAAAAGACAGGTGAATGCTACCTAGATACCTCTCTGAATTTTGGTTACACTTATATCTTTGTATCATCAGTGAACTATGGTCGGTGTTTACTGACATTCACTGTGAAAGGAAATGTTTGTTCAAAGTCAGTGATGAATTAATCCACTGCTACTCCTTGATGTTCTGGTATTATCAAGTAAATCAATGGTCACTAAAAAATAAAGTTTCTTTTCCTTCTTCCTTCTGGATTTGATGGAACACTAATAAAGAACATTTTTTTCTGAATTACTGTATATACTGTTCATCTTAGTAGACTTCTTGTTGTCTTCCCTGATCTCTCAGTTATGTGACTGAAGAGACCTTCCTTAGTGTCTGACTTACCTTTCATGACATAATTCATCTACAAAGTTTAAATTATTCCACAAAAGTCACATTCTTTTACAAAAGAGTCCCTCAGATTACATTTTGTACTATCTCCCTCTTACTACAAAGTCCAGTCACTTCAAAAACATTAAGCTTGAATGAATTTAGCCTCAATATTCATGCTGGAAAATGGATTTTTTAAGTCCCAGCTTGAGTTATAATGAGGGGACTGAGCCCATGTACTGGACTCTCCTTTGAGCATTCTTCTGCAGGAGAAATTCCTTCCTCTCACTTCAGAAGGTGGGAAATGCTGCAAGCTGGGCTAGGTCTTCCAAAACAAAGGAACCATTTTTAAATATAGGTGCAATTTCGTGACAATTTTGGGCATCACTAGCCTAGATTACAGCAGGAAAGCTGATTCACCCTTCAGAGGAAAGTGATGCTATAAAACCAGGTTTGAACTTGGTACAATTTGCCATTGTACAAAGACACTGCTGCATCAAAGCAATGAAAAATGTTCTTTGAAGAAACTTGGCATAGCTAATGTGAAGGATGCATGTCACTCTCCCCACCAAGACTCTGAGATATTTATAAAAGCAGACATACCTCATCAATTCAGTATTTCCCCTCACTAACAAACAGTAGTGTGAACTAGTGCTGTGCAGACCAAGTGCTGTGTGTGAAATTTAAGAATTTAACCAAAAGGAAGTGGAGCTGACGGATATCATCTGATACATGATTAGCAAGCAGACACTAAGAATGCTTAAGACATAATAGTGTTGATAAGTAATAGGATTAAAATTGCATAGTGTAGTACTGTTGTTAAAGTGTGTGTGTCTATGTATAGTACTGTACATAAAGTTTAGTGAGAGCCCCAAGCCTGATCTGTAAGCCAGTTTCTTTCACAATAAGAGTAAAGCTATGATGGGTTGAAGCAATGAGGCAAATATTCAAAATCAGTTATAAATCAATATAGATTGTCATTCTGTCAATATACGCTCAGGGAAGTAAATGTTCCACAAATATACAGTGAAAGCATTATTTAAATCCCCTGTGTAAGAACCTTGTCATCACTGGGAGTAGAAGAGTGGCTGCTAACTGTTCTGCGGGGTTCAGTTCAGGCTCTAGCCAGCAGCAGAAAACCAAATTCTCCAGAGTTTTAATTCTCTAATGAGCCAATAGTCTTCCATATTGATGTGCACACACACACACAGAGAGAACATAAAAATAGCCTCAAGAGCTTCTGAATCCACGACTCTTGCCAGCTTGACCACACTCTCTGGGTAGTCCAGGAATTCAGACAAAAACATCAATCAAAGGACGCAGCTGTACTGGAATGTGTTCAGCCACCACTCCCACTCTGAGCATTAAGAGTTTATTTTAGCTACTGTTTTCTGCTCTGGGGTTTCATTGTCATTAGTCAGTGGAAATTGCTTGGTTATTCACGGAGTAGAAAATGATAGTATATGTAATTAGAATTATAATTACGTATACATATATTTATGCACACACATAGACTCACACAAACACAGATGTACGTCATGACTGATGGACTGAGTTTTCAGCCCTGTGCAGGGAGCAGAAGTTCATAGCCCTGTTAATGTAAGAGTTGCGTGTCTAATTCTGGTCAGGCATAATGACCCTATGCTTAGAATCAAGTACATAAAAGGGGACAACCGTTGCTCCCTATTACTCTGTGTAAAGTTCAATAATATGATTGTCTGGCCTCTGCAATACTGAAGTCAGCTTGAGGCTGCCTGGGGCAGCTTTGACGATACTGTTGGTAAAAAATGGCACTGATCCATTGACTGCAATAGATGTTGTGCCAGTTTACACCAGCAATAAATTCAGCCCAGTCATTTTGTCTACTCCCATAACAAAAAAGCTTTTTGAAGTATGTACTTAAAAAAAAGTGACTGTGATTCTTTTTGATAACAATAGACTGATTTTCCAGTGATCCTTAGCAGTGACTGTTGAGCAACTAAACTTAATATCAAAAAAAGGTTCACCACATAGGCAGTTCTGATGTTGTATTTAATTATGCAATTCCCCAAAGCGTTCAAGAAAAATCTGTTGATGCTCATACATCCTAGAGAGTGTCTTCGTCAATCAAGGGAAACACCGTTCCCATGACCCAGTATTTATCTGTATAGACTCCTGGGTAAATAAAGAGTTCACGGGTTTAAAATAAAAATAGATAGTAAATTCAGATTTCCCAAGAACCATAGCAATGCTTTTTCTTTTTCCTCTCTCTTTCAATTCTTTGCAGACGAAGAGCTTTTTTCAGGCATGTATATTGATTTCATGGGGACGGATGCAGCCATTTTTCGGAGCCTGACCAGGAGGAATGCGGTGCGAACCGACCAGCACAACTCCAAGTGGCTGAGTGGTGAGATGCCTTTGTTTTGCCAGAGCTTTTAATGGCTTTCACAGATATTCTGCTTTGTTTTGTTTAAAATAAACGAGTTTGTCTTTTAAAGAGCTTTTCTCTGAATTTATGAAGATGAACCATGAAGAATTGTATGTAAATGCATATTGTAGACAATGCACAAATGTAAAGTGTTCACTGTATGACCCAGCCTCTTAGGTCACCCCACTTTAGGGGTGTCTTTCTTTAGGGGGAAAAAGAACCCCTAAAATAACATTTCTGGAAAATCTACCTGTTACTTATGCTTGGAACAGGTACTTGACAAGCACAATTTATTTCTATGTTCTTTTAGAGCCAGAGTCTTGACACTTGTTATATTGATTGAGAATGGGCTCATATCAATAGACAAATGATGCAGTCTAAAGTGATTTTTTCTGTCAGACAACCAGCCTTTGTATCAGATTGTTTCAAGATTTGTACTGGATTTCAACTGATCAAGCAATCTTGCATGGTCACTGAAAAGATGTAACCTTCATGCAGGAAGAGGGTCAGCTTTTTCCTTCAAACAAAGGAGATCTTTGGAGGTCTCCATTCTCCATTATATGCTTGCTGTTAAGGATATAAATTATTTTGCTCTCTCACACCTTTGCAGTGTTTTGCATGTATATTTGGTTATGTTTATTAACCTCTTATATGAATTCAAATGCTGTTCAAGCATTTGCATACCCTGCTTTCCTTTTCTGTGTTTCACAAGTTATTTTCCTCTTTTATTTATGTTCCTTATTTGTTGTTTTCCTAATGAGCCTTTCAACAGCTTCCTTTCACGTTTTGCCTCAATGAGTCTTTCCTTAAGTGCCCCTGATAACTGATTGCCACTGATTCTTCCTTTTTATTCCTCCAAGTCTCTGAATCTCTGCAGTAATCTAATACTACTGCTTCTGCATTTGAATCACTTTTCTGAAAATCTGGTATGGGATGAAAGGATGCAGAAACTTAAGGCTGCCAGTAAGAAGCAATGATACCTTGTGTATATACAGACATGAGGCTAGAGCATATAGCTTAACCTGCCACAGTAGTACCTCTTTACTTTACATAGCATTTCCTTGAAGCAGCCAGTAACTGTCAAATCATTAACTGCTGATACTGATACATTTTCTGGTTTCATCTTTTTGGTATACTGTTTCATTTCAGAGCCTATTTTTGTGGATGCTCATGTTATCCCAGATGGCACTGACCCCAATGATGCCAAAATCTACTTCTTCTTCAAAGAGAGACTCACAGACAACAGCGGCAGCACAAAGCAAATTCATTCAATGATTGCAAGAATATGCCCAGTAAGAACTATTGTGTTTGCCAGGTTGTTGGGACAAGCTGCTAGTGTGACATGATAAGCTAAAAGACTCATTGGTTGAAAAGCCTTTGATTTATGTTCAAAACAAATTTCCTGTTTCAGCTTCCACATTCATAACTAAGAAGAGCTGTTACTGAGCACACAGATAGGGTCTGAACATGTTATGTATATCTGGCTATACCTAGAATGATATGGAAATTTAGAGATTCAGGAAATTGTGGATTTCTCTGGGTCAGAAGAGTTACCAGTGTTGAGTTTCCAAACTTGCTGTCCTTTGCACAAATGAGGTACATTCTTTCATCAGAAAAACTCAATTATAAGATTGAAGTGTCTTACAAAAACACACTCAAAATCTTTGAAACACCGAAACACATTGGAAATATCAGAGCCAAGCTTTTAAATGGCTTTATTTAAGCTTCAAATATTGATTTTACAATATCTGTCCTTTCTGGGTTGTTGCACTGATATATGTGTGAGCCTAACTTTAAAAACATGCTCAGGAAAATTAAATTCAGGAGTTATGGCTACACCTGTGCAGTAATTTACAATCACAATGCTCCTCATTGTCCCTGTTTCCTTTTTTGTATTTGCAATCAACTGTAGATGAAAAATGATTGAAGCAGCTATTAATATCTTCAGTGAAATGGATTTCTTTTAATGAGAGAAAAATTATAAACGCACAATTACTGTTAGCTTTTTCATTCCTTCTTTTTGAAAGGCTCAGGAAGATAACTGTGAGCATTTGTGTATTACATGTCTTTAATCTGGGTTTTCTTTAAGATTTGGTTTTTTTCTGATTTTGTTGTGCATGGGTGTGAGAGTGTGTTTTTGGGATTGTGTTAAACTCCTTCTCTGGCAATATGATGAGGCATGTGATCTCTTTTATAATCTCTGTTTTCTATATTTTTGTGAGGGTGCCCAAAGGCCTTTTTGGGTATTTTGCAAGAAGACATTTCACACAATTATAGCTGTATTTGTTATTGTTACTGTTATAATGAAGCCCAGATGATTTCTGAAAGGCCTCAGCCTATTTAGACTGACACTGAAATCAGTGGCAAAATCCCAAAGCCAATGAAAATAAATCTGAGTCAGTCATATTTGCATACTTGTATACCATCATATTCATCTATCAACACCTCTGAGACTTGCCAAATACATTAGTACAATGATTCAAAGAAAGAACCCCTCAAAAGACCCTTTATGGGTCACGCTAAAAGTTGTATTACCAGCTCCAGGAGCATCAGTGAAAAATGCACATCATTTAATCAAAACCATATTTGACTTGCTTCTAAATTTCCTTTTCCCCTTTCTTGGGGTGTCATTCTGCTATGTAGTTTGGACGATTCTGCTCTTAGATAAGGCATTCACCAGCAGAATAAGGCAGGAGCTGTGCTGCACCATCTGGCTTAGTGCTTACAGTCTCCACCTTGCACCAGAGAGAGACGGAGAGATCTTGGAGCGAGTTGTGACCAGGCCAGCCCAGGACCAAGCTAGCAGGACTTGCAACACTTCTGAATTTAGTTGAGAGTATCCACCTCATTGCCCAGCATGGCTTACTAGGTCAGATGCAGCTATACCACTATCCCAACTAGAAGAAGTATCTTTCCATAGGACTACTAGACCTTTGGGGCCTTCTCCATGCTGCGTGTCAGTGAGTGATACAGACCTCCACAGTCCTTACCAGTCATATATACACACTGCTGCCACACAAAATATACTTCCCAACCCTACCAAGCCTGCTAGCCAAGCACAAAAAATCTGCTAGAAAACTCGTTCTTGTTTTTCCTGTATCTGGAGTGCTTAGGTGAGGGGATTTGGTTTAGGTCTATCTATTTTTTATATTGAATTTCAGCATAATTGTATAAATGATTAGTCATATTAATCTGAGGAAAAATGTGGGAAAGACCAGTAAAATGTTAGTAAATCTTGTTTTGCTGAAAATAATATTCCTTTTCAGAATGACACAGGTGGTCAGCGTAGTCTTGTGAACAAGTGGACAACATTCCTGAAAGCAAGACTTGTGTGCTCAGTAATGGATGAAGATGGAACAGAAACTTACTTTGATGAATTAGGTATGTCCAAAAAATCCCTTAAGATTTTCATCTAAATTTTGCATCCTGGACATATTTAATTATTGATGTTCTTATATCTCCTTAATCAAATTGTTGACAATGAAATCTTCACTCTGTAGAAATTCATGACAAAATTCCCCTTACAGTTTTATGTCAGGAAATGAATAAATTCTTCATAAATCTCTCTGTGTAATTATCCTTATCTTTGAAATAAAGGTAATTAATCTTGACTATGTAATGGAATTATAAATTTAAAGAATATTTGGATGGGAACATGTAACTGAAGTCTATTGTTATTTTGCTCCTACTTGGGAGTATGATAGAGGGTTTTTAACGTACACCTCTTTGAAACTGTTTCTTATACCACTGCTTAATACACAGCTTTTCCTCAATAGAGTTTTTCTTTTTTCATCACTGGGTAGAGGCCTCAATTTGATAGCTCAAGATGATACTTACAGATCATGTTACTGGCAGCAACAATAGTACAATGAATAAATATAATCTCTTAGGGTTCATTCAAGCCCTTAGATTTTCAGTTCCACATGTGAAATACTGCAGATATTCAGTGAATAATCTATACTTCAGTCACAAGAGGTTTCCTTTCATTAAGGAATTGATATATGCATATCTTGATCCTTAAGTGCCAAACAACATTACCAGAAAGTTTCAAATTCTATATTGTCCACAGCTGTGATGTACAAAGTCATAGTTCTAAATTCAGGTGTTAGAAGATTTTGTATTTGTATGATTATAAATATAAACTATGAATCTGACCTTCTCCCCATTGTAATCTCTCTCTCTCTCCCCTTGTCAATATTCCAGATTTTCGTAATAACAAATGGGTTTTGGAGTGTTTCTGGCTTTTTATCTTTACAGCTATATGGTGTAGTTGATTTGATTCAAGGTTTTGATGGAAGCTAATGGGCCTAGGAGCAGTTGCAGTAATACAGAATGGGCAAGGTGCCCGTCTGTTGGAGGATGGGCTTTCAGAAGTTATCAATTTCTCTTGGCACTACCAGAGCTACCTATCTTTCAGAACTGTGATTTTCCAGCCAACTCCTCTTCAATAATGCAGTAGTATAACAGCTTCTAGTTTTCTGTATGACAAAACGTAAAACCATACAGAACAGGAGACAATATGCTCAGCCTGGAGTCCCAGCACAAGCCTCTAGCAAAGAAACAGAATACAACCACAGCTGGAAATTCAGAAAACTGGGAGAGAACAAGCATATGCTTCTGTTTTCATGTATAATGCAGAAGAGTGTAACACTTCCAGTTCTGCATGGTGACGTCTTTTGCTTTTGTCATATTTAAAAGAACACTTTAAAAATTCAGAGGATTAAATGAAGGAGCCACATAAATTAATGGAAAGCTAAAGAAATATTCTATAATAAAAAGCTCAAACAGTTCAATCTCTTTGTGTGTTGTAAAATAAGCTTAGGAGGTAGCTTGATTATAGTTATTAAAAACATTTGCAAGGAGAAGCTGTCAGAGATTGAAGTAATTTTCAGTGAAGTGTAAAAAAAAAATTAAACCAGTCAGAGGTAATGGTGGGCAAGTTGAGTTCAGTGAGTATGTACAGTTTTGCATAGTGAAGTCAATAAATTCCTACACAACGGGAGCTGGGAGCTTTACATCTTTCAATGTCTTCACTGCAAAGCTGTGAGTCATTCATATCATGCTGAAAACTAGTTAGTGATGGAATCTTGAATGTGTACTGGATGATAAAACACCTAATCCTCCTACTTCGGATTACGTCCGTCTATAAGAACTCCGCCTTTGACCTACTGCAACTTAAACATTTCCCTACTGTTAAAAAACCTGCTGAAACAAGATCCAGATGAGAGAAATGTGCAACGTGGGTCCTGAACATATTTGAAAATCTTTACTTTCTGTCTTCATAAGGCTAGATAGTGCAGAGTTCATTTTCCAATCTGTTTCTGAACGTTTGAACACTAGATTTATGCATATGGCCCATTCGTACGATGTGTCTGCTTTTTCCCGTTCAAGTGTGAGGCAAAACTACTGTTGACTGCAGCAGGAACAGAGTCATGAATTAAACTGGAAAATGAAATTTTTAGTAGTCTTCAAAGTTTTTTTTTTTTCTTTCTTACAGAGGATGTGTTTCTTTTAGAGACAGATAACCCCAGAACGACGCTTGTCTATGGAATTTTTTCAACATCAAGGTAAATGAGGAGATTTGAAAAAAATCACCTCTCTGACCTGCTCAGTTTTCTCTATGAGAAATGAAAGTGATGGTTTGTGATCAAAGCTTTTCTGTGCAGTTTTCTATGTCTGCTGTGGCCATCATTTGCATGCAGGAGTAGCAGTCTCAGTACCGCTCCTGTTGGTATCCATCTTAGAGCTGTGCTGCTTGGAGCAAACTGCTCCCTGATGCTGGGAAAACATTTCCGCAGAGGGTCGCTTGTTACCATTCAGCAATGGAAAGCTGAATGACTTCAATGCAGTGAACTCATGTGGCATCTGAGAGCACTTAACACCTCCTGAAGGACATCCAGCACCCCGAAGGATCAAACCAGGAATTCTTACATGAATTCGTATGAATCATTTCCAGTCTCTCAGCTGGCAGATGATTGCACAGATGGCAAATAACCCACGTCGGCTTCAGCTGGCTACAAAAAGAGAAGCTTGTATGGCATTTGATCCCCTCTTCGCAGCCTTAAGGTCAACGTTATCAGTCACTGGTGTTCACTTACCATCCAGTTTAGAAAACGTTCAGTGAGCTCCCCAGGGGAGTGGAAGTACTAGATATGTCTTACTATGCTGAAACTCTCCACAAAGATAGATAGACAGGTGGACCAACAGATTCTGCTCTCTCTACTTTTTTTTTGT